AGTATTACAGCGAGTGGGAAAGGTAGCCTATAGGTTGGCTTTACCACCTAGCATGGACAGAGTACATAATGTATTTCATGTCTCGATGCTTCGGAAATATGTAAGTGATCCCTCCCATATATTAAGTGTAGAGGATGTGGACTTAGAAGAAACTCTTGTGTATGAGAAGCGTCCAGTTCAAGTATTGGACAAAAAGATTAAAGACCTCCAAAACAAGAGTATCCCTTGAGTGAAAGTTCTCTAGAGAAATCATAAAGTTGAAGAAGCTACATGGGAGGTGGAGCAAGATATGCATAACCGTTACTCGGAGTTGTTTGTTTGAATTTCGAGGACGAAATTCTTATAAAAGGGGGATAATTGTAACGCTCACATTGAGGTATGTGATTTAATTTATGCTCTTATACTTTTAGTTGATTTTTGCTAAGGTTATTTTAAGGAAAATGTGAAGAAAATGCCTTACACTTGCATTAAGGGTAAAATGGTCTTTTCACTCAAAATTAGTTGAAAAAGTGGGGAGTGAAAAGAGATAGAATTTTATAGAAATTGCAAAAAAATGAGGGCATTATGATAATTGACTAAGGGACATAGATGGAATTTTAAAGAAAGTGCAAGGGCAAAATGGGAAACTATATATAATTTAATGTTATATCAAGGATTGAAGAGTGAAACCCTAGCCACTCTTCAACCCATTTTCACGCCACTTCTCTTCCAAATCCTCTCAATTTCTTCACTTCTTTTTCAAAAGAAATTCATAGATCTTGGGTATTTTTGAGTGGATTTTCAATCTCAAGCATCTATAGGTAAGATCCTTGCACTAAGAAGTGATTTTTAATTTTTAAAGTGTTGATTTTGATGGTTTATGCTCATAGGATTTAAGAGGAAGAGAATTTGAGCAAAGAAGATTCTTAAATTATGTTGTGTAGAGAATATATATATATATATATGTGTGTGTGTGTGTGTGTGTGTGTGTGTGTGTGTGTGTGTTATATGTAAAATTGTTGACGGATTTTGTGTTGAATAATAATTAGAACCTATCCATGAGAAGTTGGGTTGGTGTATGTGAGACTTGATGAATGTTTGGTTGAGATTTGGAGGAGTTGAAGTGAAAATTTTGAAGTGTGTATTTTGGGCAGATTTGGCGTTTATTATGGAGGAGTTTATTCCAAATTTTTTGTGGCCTAAAATAGAGATAGAAGTGTAGCCAAATTAGTGTTGATTTTTGCACATGATTTGTTTGATGAAATGCCAAAGAGAAGTGCATGTTTGAATATGATTATGTATTACTTTGGAAATAATGAGTTTGTAGATGGTAGAGAATGACATGCTTGCATTCCATAATGCATAATTGCATTTAAACATATGAATTTAGAAAGAAATATAAGCATGAAACCATCTACATGCATACATATTCATAAGAGCGTGAAAAAGCACTAAAATATGTTAAAGAGAAAATAGAAAGAAATGAGAATATTAAAGATATTCAAATCTGAATTTTTAGTTAAAGAAGTGTAAAAAGATAAAAAGAAGAGAAGGTTGTTGCGATGGGGAGCCGTGAGTGACATAATCCCACATGCACGTCGCCTTTAGTGAGCAGCCTCAGAATTCAGAAAGAAGAATTGTACAGTCTGATAGAAGTGCGTGTGGATGAGGAATGTACACAGAATTAGAGAATTCACTCACACGGCCAAGGCTCCAAATCCATGCCTCAACCAAGTCCGATCGACAAGAAAAGAAAAGAAAGAATAGAAAAGAAAGATAGAAAAGAAAGAAAAAATAGAAAGAAAGAAAGAAAGATAGAAAAGAAAGAAAGAATAGAAAGAAAGACTAGAAAATAAAGAGAAGAAATAGAAAACATAATAAGAAAATAGAAAAGAAAATGCATAATTTATGCATTCGTGCATTTGCATCATGAATATGCACAATACCATGCTATTATCATGAGTAGTAACAAATTAGAAAACAGAGAGCAAAACAGAGAAAGAATGAGAAAGAATAGAGAAAGAACAAAGAGAAGAACAGAGAAAGAATAGAGAATAATTGGGAAAGGTGATGTAAGGAAAGAAAATTTGGAATTTAAGCAACGGAGAGAGAACAGTAATATAGTGGGTTTACTTACTGAGCAATTAGTGCTCACTCTGTTGTTTTCAATGTTTTTGCAAGTAATAGGTGAGTTGCGGTCACTCGGAACATCACACAGTGGAAGGGTTGGGCTACACTGTCAAGTTGCTATTTTTGAGTATATTTTGTAAATATTTGTATATAAAGAAAAAATTAATATGGGCCCATACTTTATTACTCGTTTATATGTGTATTTTTATATATATTTTTGATGAGTTTAATAATTATTTTACGAGTATACTGGCTAGAAAGAAAGTATCACAAAAGACTTGGGGGAAGATTGATGTACTTATCTCACACTAGGCCAGATCTTGCTTATGCATTGAGTATAGTCAGCCATTCATGCATAATCTTGGAGAACAGCATATGAATGCAGTTACGTGCATCTTGAAGTATTTAAAACCTGCTCTTAGAAAGGGAATCATATTTACTAAAAATAAGGACTACCAAAATGTGAGTGCATATACTAATGTTGATTGGGCTGGATCGGTGGATGACAAATGATCTACTTCTGGTTATTTCACTTTTGTACGTGGTAATCTAGTTACATGGAGAAGCAAAAAAATAACATGTTGTAGCACGCTCAAGCGCCGAAGCAGAATTTAGGGGAATGGCACTTGGGATTTGTGAAGCTTTGTGGCTAAGATTTCTAGTGCAGATTTGGGCTATCAACCTAATTACCAATCTAGTTATATTGCAACAATAAAGCAGCATGTGACATTGCTCATAATCCAGTTCAACATGATCGTATGAAGCATGTTGAAGTAGATAGATTTTTCATCAAAGAAAAACTGGATAAAAAGATTATTGAATTGCCCAAGATTCGATCAGAGGATCAATTGGCCGATATTCTTACCAAAACTGTCTCCAAACATATTTTCTCACAAGTTTTAGGCGAGTTGGGCATGTGTGACATCTACACACCAACTTAAGGGGGAGTGTTGAAGATTTACTGAATATTTCTTGAATATATTGTAATCTCTTAATTATGTCAGTTTTAGGATATTCATAATATACTTGATATTCTGTAATCTCCTAATTATGTCAGTATATTGTAATTGACATAATTAGGAGATTCCGTAGATTGTGCTTTCCGTATATAAAGCCTGTAACTATGAGTGTAAAATCAATTAATTGAAATATCCAATTCTTCACATTATGGGCTACCCCGTCACCTGGACCAATCACCACCACCACCACCTCCACCGCCACGGCCACCAAACCGCCACCACTAATTCCTTCAGCAATAGATATTATAACTTGATATTCGTATTAATTTTTCTTCTTATTACAAGTTCTTGTACAATTGCTACAGTATTTCTACGTGCCCAATTGCATCCTCCAGGCTTCCAAGTTGGTTCAATCACAGTATATCCCTTCAACATCTCTTCTTCTTCTTCGCCGCAAATAACAACCAATTGGGACATCACTTTCTCGGTCACAAACCCTAATTATGGACATCTCATTCAGTGTGATGAATTCGAGGCTTCAATTTTCTACGAAGGAGACAATATTATTTTGTCCAAGACTTTGGAAGTAAGAGACTGGCATCCGAAGAGCAGAATAAGTGGGTTTTGCAAGCAAGTTTTGACGTCTCCTCCTCGTATATTAATTGTTCGGTTGCCGAAGCTATTCATGTAGATATGTCAAATGGGTTATTGTGTTTCACTGTAAAACTACACGCACATGCTTGGATTGATCCTGATGATGTGAGAAGGGAACAGTTGAAGTGGATTAAGGTTTCATGTGAGGAGATTAAGGTTAAATTTTCGTCCATAAATAATGTTACTATAGGGTCAATGTTTGGTGGTTCAAGGAAATACAATGTGGAATTTGTGGATGCTTAATTAATTAAACACGGTATTGATTTCAACTGTCTTTTGTTTTTACTTTTCCTTCTGAGGGAGGACAGAGTAGTTAGCAAACGAATTCGTGGATACTTTGTGCTAATAGCTGTCGAGATCCTGTCAGGGAACAGGGAAAGCTTTGGCTGCAAGCTTGTATTAATTTTTTAAGTATTTGGTGTTTATTAAAAAAAAAAATCTATAAAACTACATCATTGTATAAGTAAGACTAATGCTACACATACTTACATTCTCTTGTCTATATTAATGAATGCGATTTACAGCATATAATGTTAATGTGGGTCCCCGAAACCCCCACTAATCCCCGAACTCTGAAGTTAGAGACTTACAACCAAGAGTTTCTATTGAACAACACCTGGTTGTGAAAGAGTGAAGTGACGTATAAGTAATTATCCCTTACCCACCTGCAAGACGCCTTTTGTGCATGGGCTGCAAGAGGACAAAACCGTGAGGCTTTTGAGCTCCAACGGGCTGGGTCAGAGGGGACAATACCTCGCGGGGGACGTGAGGCATTATGTAAACAATCTGTTTCATAGATTTTCCCTCACATTTTGGCTTCATATAATTCCAAAAACACAGAGTTTTCTCAAAGCCTCATGTTCTTATATCTCTATATGTTTATTTAGCAGACCCCCTGTTAACCCGAGCGATAATTCAAATATATGCCCCACATGCATTTGCAAAGGTACTCCTAATGGGTTGGAGACCATATCAAGAAGCTTCGAAGCAGTGGGAAAAGACCAAGGCTCTGCTGGCGTGCTTGTTGAGGAATGAGCAGGAGACTTTTTACACTAATTAACATGTCTTTTACTGATTGAAACTTATGCAAAATTCAATTCTAATTTATCAAAGACAAGAAAATGATTAACCTTATTGTTTTCAGAGGAAGTGAAGCTCGATTAGCAGATGAATTTGAAGAGAAATTGAGTTAGTAGCCGGGGAAATTGATTAATCTGCATTATACTCCATAATCCATTACCAGAATTAACAAAACCAACTTAAAATATTTATTCTAATTACAGCTTTTTATATTACTTCTTAATCAAACTCAAAAGAAAAAAAATCAAAATACTTCTATAATATATATGAAAGACATTCAAACTTTTTCATGGCTGACTTCTCAAATGTGAAAGCATGGAAAAAAGCAGCGAAACAAATCGAAACCAAACCCAGCAGCGCATCCAAAGAACCCAGAACGTCTCTCTCTTCTTCCACTTTCCGCCGTAACTGGCAATCCATACGCCGGATTCGGAGCCAAATATTGCTGATAAGATTCAGAGCTCTCACTATTCTTCAATTCTGGACAGATGGGACTCGTTTCCTCCACATCTTCTTCCGAATATTCCAACTGGGTTTGGCTCGGAACGTAGTCATAACACTCATAACACTCAGTCTCGTCGGATTCGAGCCACGGCGGCAGCGGAGGAGCGGAGGGCTGAGGAGTAGAGGAGGTGCAGGAGCAATAGTATTGGTGATAATGGGGACAAGTTGAGGGAGTGAAAGGCTGACAATAATAAGGTTGGTGTTGATCATAATCGTAAGAGTGCTTCTTCTTTCTCTTCTTTCTCGACCAGAACTTGAGCTTCTTCATGACTTTCATGGCCGATTTGGAGGATGAATGAGAAGCATGACAGAGCTCTGAAGACGAAATTGATTTTTGGAGCGTTGGCTCGGAATCTTTGAAAAGTGTAAAAGCTATGTTAGCTTTTTTAAATTTTGTGACCGTTGGATAGCCACTAGTCAAAAAAGTCGAACTTATGCATCGTTATAAATAGTAGTATGTGGTGGATCCAGTTCGGTTCAATTTAGTGCCCAAGTTGAAAGTGTTTAACTATTATGGATGTGAAATGACCCAAATGGGCAAATATAGTTACATCCAATCAATTAGATCACGACAGTCGACCAATCAAGACATGTGCATTTCATTACATCTTGTATATGCATCTTGGGCAAATATATGTACATCCAATCAATTATGTCACGACATTCAGACCAATCAAGTCTTTCGTGTCAAGACAATATTTTAAAACCCGACCCAACCCAACCAGCCTAACCTGTTCAACCGAGACTCGAAAGCTTCAACGAGTCAGGTTTATATTTTTTCTATTCACCAAAAACCTTAGGATTTGGGAGAATGATCGACGAATAATTAATAGTTGGAATGTTGGGGCTTTTGAAGAGAAAGTGCCAGTGAATGAATTGGTGGTGACGAAGTTGATTTCTAGTGAGTAAATCGACCAAAAATTGAACAAAATTGACAGTGGCAACAACCGGCTTTTGCCAGCGATTGGAGAGGCTAACGGAGGTGGGGTGAGGTGGGTTTTGGTCAGGAGGAAGAAGGGGGTAATTTCTGGGTGATGGGGAGGGTTGTCGATGTCGGCATCGATGAGATCTGACCTGAAATGCTGACACCCACGTCGACAAGATCTGACCAAAATCGAACTTATTTCAACCAGATCTTGGGTATGTTTTAAGGGGAATTGGCTCAAGGGACAATTGGGATTGCATCTGAAGTGTCACCGCCGCAACCAGTCGCTAACCGATTTGTATTTGAGGTGTGTTTACTAAATTTCAAACCTATAAAAACTTAATTGTAATTTTTAAAGGTGTATTTAGTGAATTTTAAAAGTTTTTGTCAACCAATTTGACCGTCGGTCAAACCGGTTAAACCAGTCAACCCAAGTCCCGACAACTTTGTCGGGTTTCACCTTGGGTTAGGTTTTAAAACATTGTCAAGACTCGTACCTAGCATTTTATTGCATCTTTGTAAATGCAATTATGCATCCGATTGATTATATCACATTTGATCAATCAAGTATCACATTAAGACGTACATATCACACGCCTCAAAAAATTAGATAAACGTATAAATGCGCCTAACCAATTTGATAGTGTGCAAAAATTTGACAGAGATACCTATGTCCACCAGTCAGATTGCAACATTCAGGTATATCATCTCAAGACACGTACATATCACCAACCTTGATATCAAACCAATTAGATTGTACAAAATTGGATAGACATACATACATCCAACCAATTGGGTAAGGAAATTCGATAATCAAAGAATCACGTCTATACACGTGCATATCACACACCTCGGAATTAGATAGATGTTAGCACATTCAACTATGTAACATGTCCCAAGATTGGAGCACAAACGACTCTCTCAAAGTTATAACATCCTGTCCAATCTGACTAAAGCTAACAAAAACATGTTCCACCAAAAGGGTTGGCCCTGAAAACCAGAAACTCAAAAAGTCATCAATTCACAATCAAATTCAAATCAATCAAGTCTGTTCTCATAACTTGATGATGAATACTTAAATCATCATTAATTATATCATTATTTACACAAATATGATACTTTTCTGAATAAGCACCACCAGTAAACTATGAATGTAACAAGAACCTGAAAATCTTCTGGCAATCAAGGAAGAAAGAGCTAAATATACATGCAATCGAAAGCAAGAGACAGGAGGGCTATATATATATATATATACGTCAGATAAAATGTAGCACATTGCTTATAAAAAAGATCTTGGAACCGAAAGAGAAAAAGGAAACGAGAGGGAGTACATTCAATCTCCATCTCCTACGCTGAGCACCAGATTGATGCGACAAACTTTAAGCCCATTTGTACTTCGAATGAGCTTATTGCACTATGAGATTTCCCACCGCAAAAACAAAACAAGAAACTTTTTTAACACCCAATTTGTTATCTTTTCAAGGCAAGTCTCACTCTCTTCAGGTGACATGTCAACTATAGTATAGTCAATCCCTGAATAAGCTATAGAGAAAATTTTCTTGAGAGTCAGCTTACGTTTATTCCTCCATTCTTTTCGATAATTCCTTTCTACGTGAGCGTATCAACACCCGGGTCCAATAATAGATGATTGATCCTCAGTGTTCATAACTGTGTCAAGATCAGGTTTGGCCGGTTTGACCTCTTCATTGGCTGAAAGTCTAATCTTGGGTGACAGCTTTTTCACTTCTTCTGCTGTGTAGATGAAAATTTTCCTCACCATGCTACAGAACTCACTGCAAAAAAAAAAAAAACAAACAGATTTTTTGATATAATTACATCTCTAGCACATGATGCGATAGGATTTCCAAAATATTATTCAATAAACAACAACAAATTATAGATTAATATAGGAAAACATGCATTAGTCTTCCCTGCCACTTGCTTTTGTTTTCCAGGATTCGACATCTCATTTTGATACTGATTAAAATGTCAAAAGACATTTTAAAACTATTGAAAATAACCTACATCCATCATCTTTAAATCAATTGATGAATAGAGGTACAAGACACAAACGTAGAATCAGAGAGAGAATTACATTTAACAAAAAACAGTGCAAGAGCAAATTCTACTGCGTGCTTAGCCATATTATCTTTTAAAACCAAATGATATTAACATACTAAGTCACTGAAAACAGGTAGCACAAGGAAGAAAGTGGGATTAAATGAACTTACGGCCACGGATCATCTCCAACCATCATCATGTCATCTTCATCGTCAGTGTAGACCACCTGCCATTTCTTGGAGGATCCACACATCTCTCCCTCAATGTCAAACATCTCCTCCAATTTCTTGAGAAGGTTGTCATAATTGTCAAAGCGTGTCAAATCAACAGCTCTCCCAACAGCAATCCCTTGCATATGAACCTGAAAAATATGCATACTATATCAAATATTAAACCATGCAGCCAACAAACCTAATAAAATAATACAGAGAAAAAGTTCACAAATCTACCATGACCCTCCAGCTCTATAAGCACGAAGAAAATAAGCAACATGTAAAAGTTAAAGAACTCCACTAAATTATGTGATTACTTGCATAGTTTCCCAATGGCTTCAAGCAAATTTGTGAAGCATACACAGAGAGGAGAGAGAAGCATAGGAAGAGGAAAAAAACTCTCATTTATACTATAAGAACCCAAATTTTAAAGAGTCAAGTTATTCTATAGTCAATACACATTCTACAATGTCAGCTACTCTCAGGTAAGAACCCAAATTTCAAAAACCCAAATGACTGAATTACCTTTGTGCAACTACGAATCTGCCTGCTCTGTGACTCCTGAGGAGATCTGAGGCATGACTTCTCAGCATCACAACTTACAGAAGGAACATCGGACCTATTAATATTTGATGGTTCAGAATGCTGGTCAGAGTCTGCATCTGAAGATGGAAGTGGTTGATCATCCCCCACTGCTTCAGACAAGGTAAAAGCAGGTGTAGCCTCTTCAATATTGGAGTTGTCAAATAGCTGAATGCCAAAAAGCTTGTACGTATTCCCAATACCCTGTCTCCTATCATTGGTTTCTTTTCTGACAACTGGTGTAAATGATTCAGTTGTATTTTCCACTTGGTTAGGCCAGTACATTGAGTTGCTGGAAACAGCTGCCAATGGACTACTCGCATCAAAACCAAGAGTGCTGCCCTTTGATGCTGAAGAGAATTTTGGTGATGGATAGAGGTCTCGACCATGCTGCATGTCACCAAACGGGAAAGCAGGAGATTCAACAGAGGATTTCCACATACCTAAGACAAAACGACAAAAGTTAGTAAATTACAGAAAAAGAATTAGAACAAGGAAACAGAGTGCAGACCATTATACCAAGGACTGAAATATCTGGACTGGAGGCTGGTAATGCTGGTGGTCGTGCCCGCTTGTTCCTCTGTGGTGGTTGGGAGTTTGAAGTAGTAGAAGAGGCAACAAGAGGCTCCAGCTCCCATGGTGATACTCTTTCAGGATGCATGATTGCTGAAGGTTCATCCCATTGAACCTAACATGAAATTGAACAAAATCAAGATAAGTCAACCAGAACACAATAAAGGTTCACAAATCAAAATTAAAACCACAAACAAGGCGATAAAATTTGGCCTGTCACAAAGGAAAACCTATAAGCCTTTTGAAACATCACTCACTTTACAAACACTGGTTTATTTTAATTAGCACACAACAAAGAAGCATGAATGAAACTAAGTGGCATCCAAATCCACAAATCTATATTCTTAGACTGAAATTTGAACTAAGTAGGAGCATAAAAGAAGGCAGTTACTAACCTTCAAGGATCTCCACTCTGAGTCTGGCCATGCTGGACTTCTATTATCCGCCATACCAACTATTGTACCACTGAACCTGTAAAGAAATAGCAAGCCTGGTCAATGAAGGTTCCTAGCTTCCTATTTCAAGAAATATCAATTTAGCAATCTTACCTTCTTTCAGGAACTTCCTCCCCCTCAAATGTCATCTTGAATCTCATCCCAACAGAAAGCTTGTGTTTTCGAGCTTCAAGGTACTTGTTAACACTAACAATGAACTCAGATCGGCTAGTTCTGGTGCACAGAAAGCAAAACCCACATTACATTAATCTCAAAAATACATTCATGATGAAAAAAAAAAAATTCAAAAAAGTTGCATTCAAACCATAATTTACCCAAAACAAGATACAGAAGCAACTATATCGATAGTTGGAATACATATTTTGAATTTTGTAACATCAAAAGTATCAAAGCATTATTTTTCTCATTTCATTATTACGGCTCCGGGCTTTGTCCAAAAAGTTCAAAAATCCGCTATGTTTCATTTCTTGTATTTCAAATTGGAAAAGCACAGAAAACAAGTTGAGAAGAAACGCCTTTCATATCAAAAATACAAATTTGTTCGAGCTCCATCAACTGAGACAATTCTTAAGAGACAAACATATGTACACAAGTATGTGCGTCTGTGTGTGTGTAAGTTAGTGCATGACAACATATTATTACGCATAAACCCATGGAAAATCAGTATGCCATATCATTCAGTACCTTAAAGCTAAAATGTAAAGAAATAAAATTGGCTTCACAGAATAAGGGGAAAGACACAAACCTAGGCTTGTAAAAGATAGAAAAGAGTGTTCCAGTTGCAATGGCATGAGAAGCAGTTGCAAGTACACCTAGATGCATACTGTGACTAGATATAACTGAAGATGGCATATTTGTTTGTTGTCTCATGTGCCTCCTAACTCCAACACGCAGCTCACCATTTTCACCCCTAAAAAGGGTTAAACATCAACAAACAATGCAACAAATCTTGGCAATACAGTAACAAGAAAGAACGTATCCAGTTTCATTATGTATGACAGAACTTGCCTCAGAAAAATGAATGCATCGCCTGCAACTAACTTTTTGGAACTAACAAACACACTCCACCCAGTGGTAAGTAAGTGACGCCTAGGTTGGCCTGCAATATGAAAACCACAAAATCCTCAAAATCATATCAATTTATTAAATTCCAAGCAAATTTGCTTGGATATTATAGCATGGCAGCGTGCAGCTGCCAGAAAACAAACGGCAGAAATTTAAGTCATATATGCTTTTTAATCACAACAACCGCTACCTTACAAGGAAAGTAGTATGAAACAGGGAAGACCAAAAAGACAAGGGAAACCTTATAAAAATTAAAAAAGAAAGATAAACATTCACAGTTCATACAATTAAAATTAGATAGCCTACCACTAAGTAAATGTCCAAGCCAAGTCTTAACTAGTAAGAAAATGCTCCCAAACTCAAAAACTTCAGAAAATGTAAAAAGCATTTACCATGACTAACAATAAAAATTTGCATACACCAAACACAACAATGGCCAAGTATTGAGAAAACTAGACACATGAGCCCCGATAATTTTTAATATAAAGCATGTGTGACCAGGTTACATTTGAATAAGTCTACAAGGATCAAAAAGAATCATGGCAATTGATATGAACCTCTGAAAATGTGCCGAAAATGCCATTCATTTCCATGCAGATCAGTTGCAACCAATTCCTGCCATGGCGGCTGTTGGGACATATCCTGAAATGATAATGGGTGATATGAGCACAAAAAAAATTTAAAGTTAAATATATCATGCTGCTGAAGTGGCTCTCAAAGAAAGAATAGACTACTAGTTGAGGCAGACCAGCGGGGGCAGACAATCATCCGCATGCCTCCTAAGAACAGAGAATCCACCATGGGTGCTTGTATCAGATGCAGTAAGTGTCTTGCAAAATGAATGGACAGTACACTTTTCAGGTTCTGGGACAGATGGATCAGGACTTGTAACCTCACTTTGCTGATATAAAAAGGGAAATAAATATAGGGAAGACATAAAAGAAACAAATAACAAATAAATAAACAAAAACTGTTATGTGTTGCAATGTGATAAGCTAACAAATGCTTTCTGAAAATCATCTCATTACAGGATAAAGAGAGCTCACATCAGGTTCTGGCAACAAAGTAATTTGTGCATAAACTTCATCTGTTTCAGGTTCAGCCTACAGTGAATGGTAAAAATAGTAAGCGAACAAAAGAATTAGAAAAGGAGACAAAGACTACTTTCTTATAGCACAACACCAAAACTACAGAAACCTCACAAAGATATATTAGAATGATCATGACATAACTCACCCGACGCTGAACGTTGACCACTTTACAAAGAATTTTAGATGGCAGATTAAATGAAGGCATTTGCTGCTCCAGCCCCTGATGCATTGATGCTTCCAGCTAAAAAAATAAATAAATAAAATGGGCATAATTATTAGTTATAACATATTACTAATTTAGTTTGATATTAAGGTGACATGCTCTATTTTTCTTATTTTTTGGGTTCCACAGTTTTCCCAATATACCATAGATCTATAGTATCAACCATGCCAAATTCACTAACAGTAAACAGACACAGGTTGCATGTAAAGTTCAACATACCTGCTCCATGTGACCTTGCGGAAAGTAGTAAACTCGCTCCCCTTCACAAGGAAGGGTGACAAGAGGTCCAGCACAGGCATGCCATAGTTCCTTGTACAAAGCATCATTGGAGGACCCTACAAAATGAATGGCATGGAAACAATGTAAGAAGATAATGAACTGAAACATGAAGGCAGAGAACAAACCGCAACCATCCAAACACATGTACACTCTATAAACATGACAACAAAAGACCTACCGTTAAAGTTCATTCATAATAGATGAGGTTTTATGCAGAACTAGTTAATTTATTCTCTTTTAGAAAACACAGGTTCTTGGCAACTGTATAAGTGCTCTAATAGAAGACATCTTTGCCTCTAAGAAAAGGTTATGACGAAAGTTTCTTCTAAAAAGCAAAAGAAGTGTTCCCAAAAACATACTAAACGCTGCACATAGCAAAGGTGAACAAATTGCAGAAGAATTTGTAATTACATGAGCCAAACTGTGCCAGGTGCACAAAAAGATTAACCATTACAATCCTTAGCCTCAGTCAAAATATCTCAACTCTAATCATAAAACTAACACATAAAATTAAGTCTAAAAGCATGCATTTACAGTACAATAACTTGAAACTAACCCATCATCACTAAATCAAAAATAAAATCGACTAACAATTATACCTGAGCTAGGTGCTCCCGCGGAGGGTTTCATAGGTGCCGCTGTCGCGAATGCCATAACAGAAGCACCAAACAGCGCAAGATATCACTCAGATGAACCTACAAACAAAAGCACTAAAAGAAAGCAATTCTCCTTGTCTAAAACTGGTTGCATATAAAGAAACAAAGCATTAAGTTATTAAAATCAGTTCTCTCAACAACTAGAACAATCCCCTCAACAGAGTTTGCTCCAAAATGCTGCATTTAAGACCATCACTTATTATTATTTTCACAGATTGCTTCAGTGTTAGCTAATCAAAAGCCCTAATGACTCTCTTTATTGTGTCAGCCTAGCTCTGCATTGTGCTTTAATGAAGCCAATAAAGTTGGCTTTAAAACCTTTAACGCCCATTTGTCAGGAAAAAACTATGTACCTTCAACCTTTCATCATTTTATTGGCATAAAATCAGCAGAATTTCAATCAAAAAAGTTTAAGTTTCACAACTTCCAATGCAAACCCAAAAATAAAGTAGAAATTAGAGCGAAAAGCCAAGGTACGGCACGTAAATCCCAGTATCATTACCAGAATCAATGATTTTTAGTACCGTGTAACATCATATTAAAAATATTCAATAACGAGAATTGCTCACAACATCAGTTCACAAGTGATTGCTAAATTTATTATCATTTTTACAATTTTAATTAGCCAGTACCGTTACTGGGCACCAGTACAGGATCACTCCCCGTGCTAAACTCAATAAACCCAGATCGTGATTATCAAAATAAAAGTAAATAATTCACCAACTATACACAAACAAATTACTCCCACATAAAAATTCAAAGAAAAATTACAAAATTACACATGAACAAACAATCAAAAGGACCAAAAACCAATGGGGATCTGACAACAACAATAACTGTTTTCAACTGAAAGTAAGAGACCCAGCCAACTCGACTAAAAACTAAACATTTACCTCCAAAAAAAATCATAAAAATAAAAAATTCAACACAAACCACAAGCTATAACTCAAACCCCATCATTTTCTCGCGTTTTCTCAGCATCCAAACAGTATCCACAAACCAAAAAAATGAAAGCAAGAAGAAGAGCATACCTTGAACCAGAATTAGGGCTCCGACTCAAATGGATCGATAAATATATATAAAAATATAAAAAATTTTAAAATCCTAATATATATATATATAATCGTATGTATATCTCGTCAATGTTTGGTCGAAGCCGACACGACCCGTTCTTTCTCTTTTTCTGTTCTTTTCTCACACACTCTTTCTTTCTCTCTGACTCTTTCTCTCTAAGCTTTTTCTTTCGGCTTAATTTTTCTTTTTTTCTTTTTATTTTTCTGTATTTTTGAGTATTTTAATTGCAAGTGTCTTTATACTGTCTGTATAGGGGTATTTATGGAAATTATATTTCGGCATCTCAATTCAATCTTTGTGAGATTACCCATTTATTAAAGATCTGATATCCCAATTCCTAATACAATTTTTATTCTAAAATTAAACAAAATTTCCAATTTTAACTTGTTTATTTCTCAATTACCTAAATTTAACACTTATTGCGCACGTGCATGACACACACTCCTTAATTGGGTCGGTCGAGTGTAGATGTGTCATGTTATCGCGCATGTATGACACGTACTCCTTTATTAGACCGTTGTACGTGCATCAGATAGAATTCTTCTATGAACAGATATAATTCTTTTGTACATTATATGCATGTACAACTATCAAATGAAACTATGCCACGTTAGCGCATGCATAAGTGCATAACACACACTCCCATATTAGACTGTTCTATGTGTTGAGATTTTGTTGCCAAATACAATCCAAATTAAAGTTGGATTACAATATAGGTTTTCCTAATATGTATTTATGTAGAATTGTTTTTCTTTAGAAATACAATTAGGAGTATGATTATAATTGTATTAAGTATTAAAATATAATTCCTATTAGGATATGAGATTTAAGTCCTATTAAGAATAGTGTCTCATGTATTATCTATAAAAAGGGGTTAAGTCCTAAAGTTAGAAATCACAAATTGAATAAAAGGTAAAGCCACAATTAGAGAGAGAGAGTCACCAAAGAGGGTTTAGTGAGTGAGCCAATTTGTGAGGCTTGAGAGATTCTTGTAATTTCTTTTTCTTCTTCTTCTTCATAGTGAAATTTCATAACGGCAAAGTGGACATAGCTCTCATACAAAGACTGAACCATTATAAATATTGTGTTTGAGTGTGTGGTTATTTGTTTGTCCTTTGTTTGCATTATTTTTGTTTTCAAGGATTTATGATTTACTAGTATCCAATTAAATCCCGCCAACAACTAGTATTAGAGCGAGGTTTGAGGAAGAAAGCAATGGTTGGAGAAGAAGGAGGATCTGCACTTGGGATCAATAAGTTTGATGCAATAGATTACACATTCTGGAAGATGCATATTAAGATCATATGTATGGCAGAAAATTACATCTACTTCTCTCAAGAGCAAAACCCGGAAAGATGTCGGATGAATATTGGGCTCTTTTTGATAGACAAGTATTAGGAGTCATTCGATTAAGATTGACCAAGAACATGGCAAGTAACGTGGTGAAGGAGACAATCATAACAGGGTTGATAAAGATCTTGTCTGATATGTATGAGAAGCCTTCTGCAAATAACAAGGTACATCTTATGAAAAAATTATTTAATTTGAAGATGAGAGAAGGTGCTTTTGTGATGAGCACATAAATGATTTTAACACAATCATTAATCAATTGTCGTTTGTAAAAATTGATTTTGATGAAGAAGTTCGTGCCCTAATTCTTATGGCCTCCCTACCAAATAGTTGAGAGTCTATGAGAGCAGCAATTAATAATTCAATAGGTAGTGCGAAATTAAAACTCACTGATGTTAGGGATAAAATTCTTGCTAAGGAGGTTCACAGGAAAGATTCGGGTGAGATAACATCGAATGCTTTGAATGTTGAAACAAGAGGCAGGGGCTATGATAGAAATTCAAACCGAGGCAGAGGAAGATCAAAATCAAGGAACGAAAGAAGCAAGTCCAAGTTTGGGAAAAAAATTGAGTGTTGGAATTGTGGCAATAAAGGCCACATACAGAGGAATTGCAAAGCACCAAAGAAAGAGGAGAACAACAATAACAATGCCGCCAATGCCGTAATTGAGGAGGTACAAGATACTTTACTTTTATCTATTGATAGTTCTATTGACTCTTGGGTTTTAGATTCAGGATTTTGATGGAAAGGTATACCTACCAGTTGGAGAACCTTTGGATATTACAGGTATGGGTGATGTTAGGTTGAAGATGGTAAACAGATCTGCGTGAAAAATCCAGAAGGTAAGGCATGTCCCAAAATTGGTACGCAATCTAATATCAGTTGGGCAACTTGACGATGAAGGGCATAGTGTGTACTTTCTAAGTGGTATATGAAAAGTTACTAAATGAGCCATGGTGGTTGCTCATGGAAATAAAATTGGAACTCTTTACATGACTTCTAATTACAGAGATTTAGTTGCAGTCGCAGATGCTAGTGTTTTCTCGAGTTTGTGGCATTGTAGACTTAGGCATATGAGCATGAAAGGAATGAAGGAGCTTCAATCAAAAGGAAAACCATTAGAGTTGAAGTCAATTGATTATAGTTTATGTGAAGGTTACATTTTTGGCAAACAGAGAAGAGTAAGTTTTTCCAAAGTAGCAAGGGAACCAAAGGCAAAGAAGCTGGAGTTGGTTCATACAAACGTGTGGGGACCCGCTTCTGTGTTATCCCTTGGAGGCTCAATGTACTAGGTGACATTCATTGATGACATAAGCGGAAAGGTATGAGTTTATTTTTTGAAAAATAAATCTAATGTTTTTGATACTTTTAAAAAGTGGAGAGCCATGGTTGAAAATGAGACAAACATAAGGGTGAGTGTTTGCAATCTGATAATAAGGGAGAGTATATTGATCAAAGGTTCAAAGAATATTGTGTCAATAATGGGATCAAGATGGAGAAAACCATTCCTGCAACTCCTCAACAGAATGGTGTCGTTGAAAGGATGAACAAAACCCTAAATGAGCATGCAAGAAGCATGAGATTGCGTGCTGGACTACCACAAACATTTTGAGCTGACGTAATTAATACTACAGCCTACTTGCTCAATAGATGACCCTCTGTACCGCTAAATTGCAAAATCCCATAAGAACTTTGGAACTGCAAAGAGGTAAATTATTCTTTCTTAAGAGTGTTTGGTTGTTTAGCATATGTTCACATTGACTCTACTCTTAGAAGTAAGCTTGATCTAAATCTAACAACTGTTTTTTCATTGGTTATGGTGACGCCGAGTTTGGCTATTGTTTCTGGGATGACCAAAACAGCAAGATTATAAGGAGCAAAGATGTCATATTCAATGAAGAAGTGATGTACAAGGATAGACTCAACATGAAGTTAGAAAATCCAAACACTAAAGTGAAGAAGCAAGAGGTAGTTCCTTTGAAAGACTTCCCAAGGAATGACATGCAAAACAAAGAACAGGAAGATCAATATAATATAGCTCCAGAAGTTGAACCACAAACGCCCATGTTTGAACCTAAAAGATCTTCCAGGACTATAAGACCACCACAGAGGTACTCCCCTTCATTGAATTATATTTTACTAACTAATGGTCGTGAGCCAGAGTGTTACGAGGAGGCAATGCAAGTTGATGACTCAATCAAGTGGGAGCTAGCTATGAAGGATGAGATGGACTCATTATTAACAAATCAAACCTAGTTGTTGACAGAGCTACCACAAGGGAAAAAGGCATTGCAAAACAAGTGGGTTTATCGAGTGAAAGATGAACATGATGGCAGCAAACGATACAATGCAAGACTGGTTGTGAAAGGATATTAGCAGAAAGAAGGCATTGACTACACTAAAATTTTCTCTCTAGTTGTCAAGTTGACTACAATAAAAATAGTACACACTTGGGTTACTAGCAAAAGAAAACCTTCATATTGAGCAGTTAGATGTAAAGATGGCGTTTCTTCATGGAGAACTGGATGAAGAAATTTATATGCAGCAGCTATAGGGTTTTAAAATACAAGGAAA